GTTGCCCATGAGGCATGGTTCGTAAGCATCAAGTGATTCATAACCAAGTGATCCCAAAAGCCCATCAGCATGGAGTTTCTTCATGCGCTTTACACCAATATGACCTAAACGACAGTGCCACAAATAAGTTGCACTATCATTATTAACTTTGCATCTTTTGGCTTCAATATTATGAATATGTGTATCACTACGGTCGAGATTCAATAAACCATTTATATTGACTGTATGACCATAGAAGGTTTTATTCATGTAAATAGAACAACAATTATTCTTTGACTTAAATGAATAACTGTATTGCAGTAAACATGATCCAATCATATTCATGCTCAACGCAAACACCAAATAACATTTATTTTAGGTTCAACACTAATCCCGAAGGAAAAGGGATTGTGCGATGGTGATCTTATCAACCTTGGAATCACTTCCAACACATATCATCACATCGCCCTTAACTAGTCTCTGTTTATTTTGCAACTCCTGTTTCGAGTTACTACTCTTAGCAACTGAACTAGTATCAAATACTGAGGGGTTTCTATAAACACTAGTAAAGTACACATCAATAACATGTATATCAAATATACTTTTGTTCACTTTGCCATCCTTCTTATCTGCCAAGTATCTAGGGCAGTTCCACTTCCAGTGACCATTTCCTTTGTAGTAGAAGCACTCAGTTCCTGGCTTGGGTCTAGCTTTGGGCTTCTTCATGGGAGTGGCAACTTGCTTGCCATTCTTCTTGAAGTTCTCTTTCTTTCCCTTGCCCTTTTACTTGAAACTAGTGGTCTTGTCAACCATCAACACTTGATGCTTTTCTTGATTTCTTCATTTGCTGATTTCAGCATCACGAAGAGCTTGGGAATCATTTCTGTTATCCCTTTCATATTATAGTTCATCACGAAGTTCTAGTAACTTGGTGATAGTGACTAGAGAACTCTGTCAATCACTATATTATCTGGAAGATTAACTCCCACTTGATTCAAGTGATTGTAGTACTCAGACATTCTGAGCACATGCTCACTAGCTGAGCTATTCTCCTCCATCTTGTAGGCAAAGTACTTGTCAGAGGTCTCATACCTATCGACTCGGGCATGAGTCTGAAATACTAATTTCAACTCTTGGAACATCTCATATGCTCCGTGGCGTTCAAAACGTTTTTGATGTCCCGGTTGTAAGCCGTAAAGCATGGTGCACTAAACTATCAAGTAGTCATCATACCGAGCTCTGTCAAATGTTCGTAACGTCTGTATCTGCTCCTGCGATAGGTCCGTCACCTAGCGGTGCATCAAGGACATACTACTTCTGTGCAACAATGAGGATAACCCTCAGATCACGGAGCTAGTCCGCATCATTGCTACTAACATCTTTCAACTTATTTTTCTCTAGGAACATATCAAAAATAAACGGGGAGCTACATCGCAAGCTTTTGATCTACAACATAGATATGCAAATACTATCAGGACTAAGTTCATGATAAATTAAAGTTCAATTAATCATATTACTTAAGAACTCCCACTTAGATAGACATCGATCTAGTCATCTAAATGATCACATGATCCAAATCAACTAAACCATGTCCGATCATCATGTGAGATGGAGTAGTTTTCAATGGTGAACATCACTATGTTGATCATATCTACTATATGATTCACGCTTGACCTTTCGGTCTCCAGTGTTCCGAGGCCATATCTACATATGCTAGGCTCGTCAAGTTCAACCTGAGTATTCTGCATGTGCAAAATAGGCTTGCACCCGCTGTATGTGAACGGAGAGCTTATCACACCCGATCATCACGTGGTGTCTCGGCACGACAAACTGTCACAACGGTGCATACTCAGGGAGAACACTTATCCCTTGAAATTTAGTGAGACATCATCTTATAATGCTACCGCCGAACTAAGCAAAATAAGATGTATAAAAGATAAACATCACATGCAATCAAAATATGTGACATGATATGTCCATCATTATCTTGTGCCTTTGATCTCCATCTCCAAAACACCGTCATGATCTCTATCGTTACCGGCATGACAACATGATCTCCATCATCTTGATCTTTATCAACATGTCATCACATGGTCGTCTCACCAACTATTGCTATCACATAGTGATAAAGTAAAGCAATTATATGGCGCTTGCATCCTATGCAATAAAGAGACAACCATAAGGCTCCTGCGAGTTGCCGATAACTTTAACAAAACATGATCATCTCATACAAAAATTTATATCTCATCACGTCTTGACCATATCACATCACAACAAGCCCAGCAAAAACAAGTTAGACGTCCTCTACTTTGTTGTTGCAAGTTTTACGTGGCTGCTACGGGCTGAGCAAGAACCGTTCTTACGTACGCATCAAAAACCACAACACGGTATAGTGATTGCTTTTTGATATTCAGAAATAACCCTGTTCATTGAATGCGATTCAACTAAAGTTGGAGAAACTGACACCCACCAGCCACATGTGTGCGAAGCACGTCGGTAGAACCAGTCTCGCGTAAGCGTACGCGTAATGTCGGTCTGAGCCGCTTCATCCAACAATACCGCCAAATCAAGAATCAACTAGTGACGGCAAGCAATATGTATATAACCACGCCCACAACTCCTTTGTGTTCTACTCGTGCATATAACATCTACGTATAAATCTGGCTCTGATGCCACTGTTGGGGAACGTAGTAATTTCAAAAAAAATCCTATGCACACGCAAGATCATGGTGATGCATAGCAACGAGAGGGGAGAGTATCGTCTATGTACCCTCGTAGACCGTAAGCGGAAGCGTTATGACAATGCGGTTGATGTAGTCGTACGTCTTCATGATCGACCGATCTAGCACCGAAGGTACAACACCTCCGCGATCTGCACACGTTCAGCTCAGTGACGTCCGCGAACTCACGATCCAGTAGATCTTCGACGGAGAGTTTCGTCAGCACGACGGCGTGATGACGGTGATGATGATGCTACCGGAACAGGGCTTCGCCTAAGCACCGCTACGATATAACCGAGGTGGATTATGGTGGAGGGGGCACCGCACATGGCTAAAAGATCAATGATCAACTTGTGTGTCCATGGGGTGTCCCCTCCCCCGTATATAAAGGAGTGGAGGAGGGGGAGGGCCGGCTCTCTACTATATATGGCGCCGCCCTGGGGAGTCCTACTCCCGGTGGGAGTAGGATTCCCCCCTTCCATGTAGTAGGACTAGGAGAGAAGGAAGGAGGGAGCGCCGCCCCTCCCCCTAGTCCAATTCGGACTAGGCCTTGGGGGAGCGCAGCCTGCCCTAGGCAGCCCCTCTCTCTTTCCCCTAAAGCCTAATAAGGCCCATACACTCCCCGGCGAATTCTCATAACTCTCTGGTACTCCGATAAATACCCGAACCACTCAGAACCTTTCCAATGTCCAAATATAGCCTTCCAATATATCGATCTTTACCTCTCGACCATTTCAAGACTCCTCGTCATGTCCCTGATCTCATCGGGGACTCTGAACAACCTTCGGTACATCAAAACACATAAACTCATAATACCGATCGTCACCGAACGTTAAGTGTGCGGACCCTACGGGTTCGAGAACTATGTAGACATGACCGAGACTCATCTCCGGTCAATAACCAATAGCGGAACCTGGATGCTCGTATTGGTTCCTACATATTCTACGAAGATCTTTATCGGTCAAACCGCATAACAACATACGTTGTTCCCTTTGTCATCGGTATGTTACTTGCCCGAGATTCGATAGTCGGTATCTCAATACCTAGTTCAATCTCGTTACCGGCAAGTCTCTCTACTCGTTCCATAATGATACATCCCATAACTAACTCATTAGCTATATTGCTTGCAAGGCTTATTGTGATGTACATTACCGAGAGGGCCGAGAGATACCTCTCCGACAATCGGAGTGACAAATCCTAATCTTGATCCATGCCAACTCAACAAACATCATCGGAGACACCTGTAGAGCACCTTTATAATCAACCAGTTATGTTGTGACATTTGGTAGCACACAAAGTGTTCCTCTGGTATTCGGGAGTTGCATGAGCTCATAGTCATAGGAACATGTATAGTTATGGAGAAAGCAATAGCAACAAACTAAACGATCATCGTGCTAAGCTAATGGATGGGTCAAGTCAATCACATCATTCTCTAATGATGTGATCCCATTAATCAAATGACAACTCATGTCTATGGTTAGGAAACTTAACCATCTTTGATTCAACGAGCTAGTCAAGTAGAGGCATACTAGTGACACTCTGTTTGTCTATATATTCACACATGTACTAAGTTTCCAGTTAATACAATTCTAGCATGAATAATAAATATTTATCATGATATAAGGAAATATAAATAACAACTTTATTATTGCCTCTAGGGCATATTTCCTTCAATCCCTGCCATGGCAATGGGGAAAGGTGGAGAAGCACCATCCCTTTGCCGCAGGAGAGGGCCTCTTAAGAGGCTGTGGGTGCACGTGGCGGACCTAGAATCTCATCCTTGGGGTGCCACAGTTCAAATTTTACATCAAACATCATGATAATCTTAAAATAGTCTTAAAATAGTAATAACTTGATAGATATTTAGTGTTACATTCAAAGTACTAAAATTTATTTCACAATTTTGGAGGGGTGCCATCTGCCCCTGTGTGCTACCATGACTCGGTCTATACTTAGTCTATTACAAGGGTGTTGTCGAGCCAACTTCAATGGGCAACGCGCATGAGCTTCATAGAGCAAGCATGATGGGCAGAGTCATGCTCGCGTGGGCTATCGACCGATCCACAATATCGGTCGGTTGATGAAAATATTTCCCCTTGCCTACTTGGGGTTGGCCTGAGCTTTCTACCAGCCCTTCCATTGCCCCGAAAACTTCCAAAAACTAATACCGGGTTTACAAACTTTCGACCACCTTTTAGATTTTTTATAAGGAACATGTGCTTTCATAAGATTTTTCCTCTATTGCCATCACTAGTGCTTGCATTCACTCCATGACCATCATTGGCACCATTGTTTCCATTGTCACCCATGCCACCCATGAATCCTTTCATGCCACCCATGCCTCCGAACCTCCCAAGAAGTCTCACATTGACCTTTCGGCCAACACCTGAATGTGCATAAGTTCAAAGTATGGTATTCCCTTCTCATCAAGATCACTTGGGCCCATGAACATAAGCTTTTCCTCACTTCCAAGCTCTTGATTGTTTCATCGTAGGCCGCCTTCCTCTCCTCAAACTCAGCCCTACTCTTCTTGGTCGGCGTTCTCCTCTCCTCAACCTCCCTTCTCTCCTCCATTTCTTTGGCCTTCAAGTTCTTCCTTTTCTGGCCATCTCCTTCATTATTGCCATGATGTTGTCCAATGATTCCTTGAAGTGATTGTCTCCTCCCTTCTTCAACTTGTCCTTGTCGTTCTTCCTCCCATCAGACCTCATGTTAGCAACTGAGTTGGGTGTGGGGTTTCTCTTTCCATCCTCAACACTTGGTGCACCATCATGAGTGTCAACTTTTATTGCATCGCCAACCAAGATCCTCAGCTTCTTCTTATTTTGAATTTAGTTGTATTTGTGGGTTCTTCCTATTCTCCTCATTTTCAATCTCCATCCAACAAGGGTGCAAAATGAATACATTGCCTTTTTTTAGCCTCTTCCCTTGTATTTTGGTTGGCTCCTAAACAATTCTTGAGCAATGTTGAGCTACATACCACAAGTGAGAAAATAAGATATCCACCAATGCATACAAGAGATGAAGAAATAATTGATCAATGCAAAAAACAGTCACTTTATCTTCGGCACTTGTACCACTTGGGTTGAGACGGTCAAATTCTGCCAAGTATGCCGACCACTTTTGACAATCCACCAATATAGTTTACCATCGTTGTCAGACCAAAACTTCTGATCGATAAATGCCACTAGTGTTATGTGCCCTGAAGTACTCACATATATGCTCCCAATAACTTGAGATTGGTTGCTCAATACCTATAACCGGACCAGGACCAATTTTCTTCCATGCACCCCACAACAACTTGTCTTCTTTGGTAGTGTAATTTGCTCGCATCAAGAAAACCCTCATCTTCCATGTCACGAAGGTGCTCTTCTTGTGGTGCATATTCTTGAGACGAAACTTCTGGTGATGGAAATAAAAAATCATCATCCACACTACATACATCAAATTTGAACAAAAGACATGCACATCACATAAAAAATTGCATACAAAATGAAAAGGCACATGAAAATCATAGAAAAACATAAAACGATTTTTTTTACCTCTTGGCCATTTCACTGAACACATTGGGGATGTTGGTGGTTGTGACGATGGGTGACGTCGGCCCGTCCTTATGCGGCAGTGGGAGGGGTGGCCAAATGGCCCTAGGCGGTGTTAGAGGAGTTGGGGTCGTGGTTGGAGGGATCGCCGATGGTTCTTCTTCTTCTTCTTCTTCTTCTTCTTCTTCTTCTTCTTCTTCTTCTTCTTCTTCTTGTGGGTCGCAACCCTGGCCAATGGATCTCGCGGCGGCCTCTTCCTAGTCAGCTTCTTCGCTTGCGGGGAAGCCTTGGTGGGGTCCTACAACGCTTCGCCGGTGTCCACAACGATGGTTGGTGGCAGTCCAAGTCCTATAAAGTGGACAACCTTTGGCTTCTCGGCACTGACGGCGGGAAAGCACTAGAGGGGCGACTGCTGGGCCGGCGGTCACGATGGGGAGGCTACAGGAGGCGGCAGTCGTGTCGAGGATGCCTTCCATGGCATCCGACGGTCGTTGGTGGTCATGGCGGAAAATTTCAGATCTGGCGGTTGGGTTCCCACAGTTGCGGTTTTCGTCTTTTGTCTTGTGCTTGTGAGACCTAAATATATCACTCCTGTAGCAATTTTTTTTTGTGCTATTGGAGCTGTTTTTTACCCAAGGGCAATGGACACATGGTGAACAAAGCAAAGTCTGGTGTGTTTTTTAGCTCAAGTTGTGCTGTTGTATGCCTTGATCGTGCTACGCTGGGCCGGCGAGCAAAGTGAGCCGACGCTAACGGGCCCAGGTGACTGACAGGCTCAGCGAAGGTTACTTGGATCAATAAAGCCCATAAGGGCCCTTATCCAAACAAATCCAGCCACAAAATGGCAGGTCTCTCTATCGCACTGCCCCTCTCTTCGCGGATTCGCCATGGCAACCGCGAAGCCAGCGGCGCCGGTGCCGCTCCCACGGGCCGCCGCCTACCCGCGAATTCTTCCACTGCGCCTACCGCGGCGCCAAAGGGCAGGAATTACCAGGGCCTCGCCTCCTCCCGCCACCTGCAGCGGGGACGCCGGTGGCGAGCTTCCTGCCAGGCTCCAGCCGAACGCGCGCCGGCCGCTCTGGCACGGCGGCGGGTTCAGCCTCCGCGTGGACCTGGGCGCCGCACGCACAGGGATCGCCGTCGGCCGTGGCATCACCCAGCCCCGCCCCCTCACCGTACGCGCCCTCACACTCGAAATCTACTACGCTTTTGCTCCGTTCGGTTTATTGGGGGTCTGAAGATGGGTTAGTGGATTCCGTCAGGTTCTGAAGCTACGGGGGCAGAAGCTGGAGCTGATGCTGCTCGATGTAGCTCAGCAGCAGGTAGAAAAATTCCCTTCTTCTTTCTCGTTCTCTTCTCTGTGCCCTGAGTCTGCCCGACATTTCAATTGTGCGTGAATTTGCTGCTCCTGCTCTGTTTCGCAGGAGGCGGGCGAGCTGATCATCGGCCTGCCGGTCTCGGCCGACGGGAGAGAGACGCCGCAGTCCAACAAAGTGCGGAGCGTCGTCGGAAGGCTCGCCGTCCAAGCGGCCGACAGGTGCGTGCGTGGTCCTCTGGGTTCCAATTACAGAATGGGCGGGCGGCGCACTAGAAAGCAAGCAAGGAGGGAAAAAGGCTTGTTGCAGTGTTCTTCACTTCAGTCCAGTAGAGGGGGTTCAGTGTTTGAGTACTTTGAGTCGGCTCAGTGTGTTTGTTTGAACAGCGCAGGGGGCTGAGGGTTTATCTGCAGGATGAGCATGGAACATCAGTGGACGCCCTCCATTACATGATCTCAAGGTAGGCTGTCTACCCTGTCATGGATGGCAAGTTTGCTACTACCTGTCATAAACTTTATTTCGAAAACCACCAAAAAAAACAAGTTGGATAAATCTCACTAGGATGTTGTCTCGGTCTGAAACTCATGTTCTTCAGGGGTGTTAAGAGGTCTTCCCGTGACGACAAATCTGATGCGTATGCTGCCATGGTACATATCATTCTGGCCACATCACACTCTTTTACCGGCTTTTGTGTGTCCCAGCTTCCAACTTGACTATAGTTTACTTTGGCTGTAGATGATTCTGGATAGATACTTCTCGTCATCAGGTCAAGGGGCTCAGATTGTTCTTCCTAGTCAACAGGAACTGCGGGACAAATTAATAGCAAAACCAAGGCAAGATGCTGAAATTTTGGAATGTGTGTCCACCTTTTCCAACTTTAGACAAGATACTTAGAATTTAACCATTGTGTTCTGTTAGAGAGGGCTTTACATCCTGAACATATAATACGATCAGCTAACTTCAGTTGACTATGCAACCTCATCGTTGGCTCTCTTATCCATTTTGTATCTACACTTTGTTTTCAAGATACTTATGTACCTGATTCATAGATCTCTAGATTAGAATTATGATGAACCGTCTACCTTTTGGTAGTTTCAGACGTTCGCCATTGAGTCCCGACTCTTTTCCAGAAAAATGGGAAGAAAACTTTCAGTTAAACCAATTATATGTATATTTCCAGTCACAGAGACAGGAAACAACTTGCTCAAACATAGTTTGAACCGTCAGACCTAGCAAGACATTTTTTTTTCTGAAACAGGGGAACACCCTAACAAATGGCAATTTACAATAGTCCCATTACCCACCGGATGCAATGAACATGCCCCTTTTTTGTAGTTAAGTTCAGTGCAACTGATCTATCTTCTCTATCTGCATTCAAATATTAGTTGCTCAGGCAATGTTTCAAAGTTACTTCTGATACAAAGCAGATTGCTAGAGACAAAATAGTCAGAATGAATCAATAATCAGCCAATCTGAATCAGCTGTCCATATGATGATGATGAAGCATATCAAACCTTTACAAAAGAATCAGTACAGTTTGCTAAATTCAGTCTCAGGTGCTGGATCACCGAGCCGGGGGAAGTGCGGATCCCTCTCAAGCATTGTTTGCAATGAGTCCATCACCCTCACGATGGATGCCCACAGGAATGGTGCAGAGCAAAACGCATAGGCGACGACCACCAGAATCCTCGCGATGCCGTCATGGTACCATGGGAATGCCATGACAAAGAGCATTCCAACAATCCCAAGCCATGCAGTGAGCACGGCAAGCGGTGGGAGCAGGAATGCATTGATCACGACCGTTGAGAAGGCGAGGACGCCAAAGAGGTACATGGACCAACCCATGATTGGATGAACTGTGCATGGGATTACAAAGAATGGGATCGCATATGCAGCCACCATGGCCACAATCCCGGCCAGCTTGATTAGCCACTGCAGCAGGGCACCTTGTTTCTCAGGTCGCCGATTATAGCACAGTTTTGTCATCTGTGGTCTTGCCAATCTGGTGACGGCTATGATCGTTATGTACATTAGCAGCTCCATGAGGACCACCGGAATTTCAGCAGCATAACTGTCAAATGTGGACCAGGGAAGGAATGTTAGCAGGCAGAAATTAAATGTGCAGAATGCATGCCATATGATTTCTTTTCTATCTGCTCAAGTATATGTTGTGGTCGTAAATTCTTGCTTTCACTCACCCAAGATCATCCCAGCGTTGCTTGTGCCAGGAAAGGCCCAGTGGCAAGATTGGCCAGGACCACCAGTACCAAGGTTTAAACCAAGGGGCACTAGGGAATGTGATCACGCTGTTAGGACCGCATGGAACATGCCAATGGAGTTTAAGATCTGCAATATTTCAGTAAAATGTCGGTAAATATCTTTGGAAGCAAGAACCATACAAAGGTTAGAGAATGGAGCTGAAGCGCAGAGATGCTCACAGTAGTATGATGCGTCCATCTGATAGCCGAGAGGAAGGCGATATGTTCCGTTGAGTTTGGTGCCATTTTCAGGAGGGTGGAACAATGGTTTGTCCAACAAGTCTGGGTAGCAGCCGACTAGGAAGCCTTGGTCTGCACCGTCAGAGTTGTCACGGCCAATCTCCAGGTCATGAAGCATGCCATTAAACACATCCATAGAAGGCTGTATATTGGATAAAACATCAACATCAGATACTTTTTAAAGACAACTGTTATCTGCGTAAAAGATATCTTGAGGTGCATTAGCTATGATCAATGCAATGATGTTGCTCATTGCATACCTTCCGATCTGAAACTATATAGATGACTATTTAAGAAAAATCTTCTGGTTATGTGCTTGTGGTGGTTTAGTGGAGCTATCATGCCAACCATGCATGTGATAGCTGGCGAGTCAATCGAAGTTCCATCTATTAATAGTTGCTCAACTGGTTTATGCCAGTACATGCCATCATCAACAGATGTAGCGATGTGGCTCAATTTAGGAACTGTACTATCATCAGCATACGTAAGGAGTTAAGGACACCATCTAGTTCAGCACAGACCGTTACATGATCAACTCAGCAGGTCCATAACATTTCAAGCAGAAGAAGAGTTTGACGTTTGGTACAGGCAGTACAATTGCAAGGTACAAACCATAAGAAGAACTGGGGCCATACCTGGAGCACGAAAAGGCCAGTGTGGAAGTAGCATGGATTGATGAAAACAGCACAAAACTGGCCGCACTGGAAGAGCTCATCGGTGTTCTGGAGGAAGATGTTGTCGGAGTCGATCATGACGACACGCTCATAGTCGACCAAGCTCCATGCGTAGAGCTTGTTCAATGTCAGCTTAAACCTCCTGTTCATTCCTCCAAGGTTGCCCTCGTAAGGATTCTTCAGGTTCTCGACAACCACCACCCTCATGCCATCCTCCTCCCTCCTGTTCCCGTTCACCACCATCAGAAATGTCATATTTCAATTCATACTTCCGTTTCAAAAAAAAATCATACTGGGAACGGAATGAATATATTTGTTCACGTTGCATTTTATAAACGAATTAGCGATTATCGGGGCGGAGTCATGGTCCAAACCAATCATTTGGGATTTGACCGTATCCAAAACATATATTCTGAAATAAATTTCATGAAGAGGAAGGAAAGTTGACCACTCTAATTGGAAACCAACCGATTTCTTTGAAGAGAAGCCACCAAACAAATACTCCTACTCGTCAAAGCTCACAGCATGTACTCACACAATACAGCATATTCTCTGAGAGTACTACTCTAATTAACAGCACACAACGGTGATGTGTCAGTCAAGAACATTTACTTAAGCAGACTGAGCATGCACTGAAATATCCCGTCTGGTAAACAGCATGGAGACTATATGTAAAAACAGCATGGAGTAGATTAAAGAAAATACTTCAGAAGCTTCCTTGTATTATAATCGTATATATCTGCAGGTGGCCCGGTACTCGCCCCCGCAAAACGGCAAAACCATCGCGCGGACGAGTTACTTCCCAAAAACAACCCCCTCGTCTTCGCCTTCGTCCCCACCCACACAAGGAAAGAAACGCTTGCCATTGTCGAAAAAGAAAAAGGAAAGAAACGCTTGCTTATAGTAATTTAATAAAAATTAATTGCGACGCGTCAGCAATGGAGCTCCAATCCGTTTCTGCTCGCGGTCAACTGCGTCCAAACGGAAGCAGAGCGGCGGAAGGGTCCAAAGGGAGGGAGGGGGCGTGCACTCACATTGCGCGGACCCAGTCGCGGGGCACGTCCGAGGAGGCGATGAGGACGCGGTCGGCGTCGGCGCCGACCCTGGACAAGGAGCGCATCATCACGCGCACCGCCACGTAGAACTCGTAGTCCCGCGGCGTCCCCATGTACATCATCGCCGCGTACGCGTGCCGGTGGTGGTGGCGCCCTCGCCCCTCGCCCTGCCGCACGGCCACGCCCCTCCGCCCGCGCTCCTCCGCCGCTCCCGCCGTGGCCGACGCGACGACCAGCAACAAAATCGCCACCGCCACCGCCGCCGCGAGACGCCTCGACGCAGCCGGCCGTCGCCCCATCGCCCGCCGAGCGCGCGCGAACTCCCCGATCAACAAGCCGGCAGCGCCGCCCTGCGGGCCGGATACCTCCCCCCGTACTACCACCGCTTGGAACGGCGACGCGGCGGAGACGCTCGTCTCGGGAATTCCCTCGCCTTTGATGCTTCTAGAGTAGACTTCCAGTTGGCAGAAGCAGAGGAAGGGAGAGAGGGAGGGGGGGAAGAGAGACAGGAGCGGAAACGGGCCGGTGGCGTGTATTTATGCGGTCTCCGGGAGAGAGCCCGGCCCGCCCGGTCGCAATTCTCGCCTCGTTCTCGTGCGTAGTTTCCTTTCGCAATAGCCTCGTGGCTTGGCGTGGTGGTGCAGGCCAGGGGCTACTGAGGAGCGTCCGTCGCTGGCATGTGGGGCGCGAGCACGGCGGGGCCCAGGCTGCAGCTGCAGCAGGGGGTGCCGGGCGTGCGACGCGTGGTGGACTGCTGAAGTGGACGGTCACGCGCCTCTGCTTTCTCTCACGAACGCTTCCTACTCGTAGCTTTTTTTTCGTAGATATACTAGCTGCGAGTCTGCGACCTGTGACCGTGAAACGTGATGTAAAAGCTACCGCTTGGTCCAGAGGGGGAAAAACGTGAAGTAAAGACGGAGGAGAGGAGGAGGAGACGCGGTTGGTTGGTGGGGTGGTGGCGGCAGGGGATGGATGACTCGGATGGACCCGTTCTACGGGCTGAAAACGCAGAGGTCTTGAAAGCAACTCTTCCCAGCTACTGCTTGGCAGTGCCTGGCTTAGAGCATTTAATAAATGACAATACATAAATGTCTTTAAAATACTCTCTTTTGTTTTTATTTTCTCCTTATATTACTTTTATCTAAAGTCAAATTTTATAAACTTTGATCAAGTTTGTAGAAAAAAAATCATCATATCGATTTGTTATTGTAAATGCTTGTGTTGGTTTCTATAAACTTGGACAAACTTTATATAGTTTTAAAGGAAATATGCCCTAGAGGCAATAATAAAGTTATTATTTATTTCCTTATATCATGATAAATGTTTATTATTCATGCTAGAATTGTATTAACCGGAAACATGATACATGTGTGAATACATGGACAAACAAAGTGTCACTAGTATGCCTCTACTTGACTAGCTCGTTGATCAAAGATGGTTATGTTTTCTAGCCATAGACAAAGAGTTGTCATTTGATTAACGGGATCACATCATTAGGGGAATGATGTGATTGACTTAACCCATTCCGTTAGCTTAGCACTTGATCGTTTAATTTGTTGCTATTACTTTTTTCATGACTTATACATGTTCCTGTGACTATGAGATTATCCAACTCCCATTTATCGAAGAAACACTTTGTGTGCTACCAAACGTCACAACGTAACTGGGTGATTATAAAGGTGCTCTACAAGTGTCTCCGAAGGTACTTATTGGGTTGGCGTATTTCGAGATTAGGATTTGTCACTCCGATTGTCGGAGAGGTATCTCTGTGCCTACTCGATAATACACATCACTTAAGCCTTGCAAGCATTGCAACTAATGAGTTAGTTACGGATGATGTGTTACGGAACGAGTAAAGAGACTTGCTGGTAACGAGATTGAACTAGGTATTGAGATAACGACGATCAAATCTCGGGCAAATAACATACCGATGACAAAAGGAACAACGTATGTTGTTATGCGCTACACATCACTTAAGCCTTGCAAGTATTGCAACTAATGGGTTAGTTGCGGGATGATGTGTTACGGGACGAGTAAAGAGACTTGCCGGTAACGAGATTGAACTAGGTATTGAGATAACGACGATCGAATCTCGGGCAAGTTGTTGGAAATATGCCCTAGAGGCAATAATAAAATGGTTATTATTATATTTCCTTGTTCATGATAATTGTCTATTGTTCATGCTATAATTGTGTTATCCAGAAATCGTAATACATGTGTGAATACATAGACCACAACATGTCCCTAGTGAGCCTCTAGTTGACTAGCTCATTGATCAATAGATGGTTACGGTTTCCTAACCATGGACATTGGATGTCATTGATAACGGGATCACATCATTAGGAGAATGATGTGATGGACAAGACCCAATCCTAAGCATATCACAAGATCGTGTGGTTCGTCTGCTAAAGCTTTTCTAATGTCAAGTATCTTTTCCTTAGACCATGAGATTGTGCAACTCCCGGATACCATAAGGGTACTTTGGGTATGTCAAACGTCACAACGTAGCTGGGTGGCTATAAAGGTACACTATGGGTATCCCCGGAAGTATCTGTTGAGTTGGCACGAATCGAGACTGGGATTTGTCACTCTGTGTAACGGAGAGGTATCTCTGGGCCCACTCGGTAGGACATCATCATAATGAGCTCAATGTGATCAAGGAGTTGTTCACGGGATGATGTGTTATGGGAACGAGTAAAGAGACTTGCCGTAACGAGATTGAACAAGATATCGGTATACCGATGATCGAATCTCGGGCAAGTATCGTACCAATAGACAAAGGAAATTGTATACGGGATTGATTGAATCCTCGACATTGTGGTTCATCTGATGAGATTATCGTGGAGCATGTGGGAGCCAACATGGGTATCCAGATTTCGCTGTTGGTTATTGAGCGGAGAGTTGTCTCGGTCATGTCTACGTGTCTCCCGAACCCGTAAGGTCTACACATTTAAGGTTCAGTGACGCTAGAGTTGTAGAGATATTAGTATGCGGTTAACCAAAAGTTGTTCGTAGTCCCGGATGAGATCTCGGACGTCACGGGGAGTTCCAAAATGGTCCGGAGGTAAAGATTTATATATAGGAAGTCCAGTTTCGGCCACCGGGAGAGTTTCGGGAGTCATCGGTATTGTACCGGGACCACCGAAAGGGTTTCGGGGGTCCACCGGGTGGGGCCACCTATCCCGGAGAGCCCCATGGGCTGAAGTGGCGTGGGAACCAGCCCCTGGTGGGCTAGTGCGCCCCACCCAAGGGCCCAAGGCGCCTAGGGTTGGAAACCCTAGGGGGGCATGCACCACCCTGTTGGAAACCCTAAGGCCTCGTTTGGATGCTGGGTAGGAAAAACCCTGGGCCATAAACCCCTAGGGGAGATTCCCCTATGCACATGAAACCCCTCCCACCACGTGGGAAATGTTCCCATTGTCGAGGTGCCCAAATAGTAACATGGGAGGGAAGGAAATCCCTTGCATACTACAGACACATATAATATAGCAGATCTTACATAAAAAGTCTACATATAATTTTGGAAAACAACCAAATCATAGATAAAAATTCCACGAATAATTCTGAGAAACAACAAAAATCACATTCCACAAATAATTCTGAGAAACGACAAAAATCACAGGCACATAACAAAGGTTCATAATTCATGTCAACTAGAATTTTAAAAATATTACTACAACTTATCCATCACTTCATCAAGCTTAAGATATCAGTCTGCATTTCACGATGATCGAGCATTGGCCTAAGCTGTTTTCATGTGCGGAAATAAAAGCAATCATTACAAGAGTTATTGATACATCGTCAAGTTTGTGCACTATAAAAAGTTCTGGATTATAAGTTGCCATGTCCAACTCAGGGATACTTTCGAACAAGATGGGCCGCAAAGCAACAATCACATCCTACTCCGGTCTTTTCTCCACTCCTTCCTCGACATCATGTACCACAACTTGATGCTGGCTGAATGACAAAAAGAAATAAGTTAGCTAGCATCAGTTCAGAATCTCACAACACTATTTTGTAGTATAAGCAAACTAATGAAATAGTATCAACCAACATATGATTTGTGCACTGTGCATAAAAAATCAAGACTATAAATATAGTTTAGGAACGCAATCACAAGGCTGCCCAGTAACCCAATTTGTTTTCTTGAAAAAGTCTTCAGATGAACAGGGCAATATATTGCTGTGAGGTGAGTTATGAGGCAATAGGAGGTGAAACCAATGGGAGGAGGCCACCAAATTAAGTATCACTAACAAGCTTGTAAAGGTACACAGAAACTACCAAACAAAAGGTAGTAACATTTCTCCAAATGTGTGGCTCTTCTAGTCAGTTTTAAAAGAATGAAGTGTGTTTTGTCTTTACTTATCTATCATCGATTAACAGAGAGAAACAAGCTTATACAAAGCTCCAGTGGATAATGCCACAAAGTAAATAAATATAAATGGATGTAGTGCAAAACAAGAAGGTGAACTGGTTACACACCTTATGTTATCTACATCTCAGAAATCTCCTCCTTCAACCAATAAAGCCGAAGATTTGAGTCCTTGGTATTGATGAATATTTCTCGATTCATTGGGCATTTAAAAAGTCGCAGTTCCTTTGCTTTTTCTGCAACTGATAGATCTTCCATTGGTTCTAGTGCAGCCACATAGTTTCCAATCGAGAACATGTCATCTGGCTTTGATTCCTTCAACTCATCAACCAGTTTTGCAGATTGTTTCTTTCGAAAATCCATGTAATCCTCAAGTACAACAGCGATCTGGCTTTGCTTCCTCTTTTTCACAGGCAGTGCTCCCTTTTGTTCAGAGTTGGTAGATGTTGTAGCTTCAGGTTCATCTCGTCTTGATGCCCCTTGCCCTTGTAGATCAGACGAGGACATACCATCATCAACATTGGTAGAGGAGATATGGTTCAAATCATTGGTAGAGGAATCCATAGGAGAAATGGCATCGCTTGTGAGATCCACTTGCGGAATTGATACAAAGTTCAAGTCTCCTGAAGCAACACTTCCTGCTCCAAAAAAATAAACATATCAGCATGTTCTCGTAGAAACATCAGATTCATCTATAATTGCAAATACATATATTACTGCCACCCATTCCAGAAAGGAAGTATATATGCACATAACTTGGTCCTTCATCGTACAACTTCTTAGAAAGAAAAAGAGCACTCAAGCAGGGTCCAATGGAAACACATGAAAAAATACAGGCATCTCAACAATCTCCCAAATACTATATAATTAAAGCAAGAATGAAAAGGATTTAATATGCAGGGTTGACGGAAACACGTGATACAGGAA